TAGGATGATTTGTGATTTGTCAAGGACATAACCACATGGTGTCCCTAGATCATGATATAATTTTTCTTAAATTTTCACATTATAATAATTTAATCTAATGGATAACAGTTATTAAGAAATTAGATAGAAGTGAAAAGCAAAATGGTCCTTTTAAAAATGAATGAATCATTTCAAATTGGACACTAACCCTTCAATCATTTTGAGGAGAGAGCGTAGATTGTTTCATTACCTCTTAATTTCAGTCTAATTTTTAAGGAGTATCATCAATTAGACTAAATTAACATAATATTAAAAAACTCAAGAATATTTTTTTTTTTAAAGATTTGATTCATATAAGATATTACAATGAAAACCAATGAATTACAATTATAATAATGAAGATCAAATACAAACTTTACAAAGAAATTCCCAAAGTGGGAGAGAATGCCTCAGTTACCACACGCAGAATAAGGCCCACATGTAGGTGAAAGAGATTTGAACTACTGACCTCCTAGTGAGGTGCAAGAGTTCTGCCCAATCAGAAATCTCGTTGGTTAACGATAAAATTGATGCAATTAGAATTAGAGTGATCAAATTAACAGAAGAAGCAAATTAAAGGTATTATGCGTGTGAAGTAACAAAATTAAAACTAAATTATACCCAACACATACCTTAGGAACCACAATAAACATATTTCATGTCTGGTTGAAATTTTGTTTGAAATGCATTATTATTCAGGGAAAGCTTCATGATGGGAAAGAAATAGCTGTTAAAAGATTATCAAGCAACTCTGGGCAAGGTCTTGAAGAGTTCAGGACTGAAGTCAAGTTGATAGTAAAACTTCAACACAGAAATCTTGTGAGGCTCTTAGGTTGCTGCATTGAGAAAGATGAAAAGCTCCTAGTCTATGAGTATATGGCCAACACTAGTCTTGATGCCTTCCTCTTCGGTTTGTGCTTTCTCTATGGCTGTTTGATGCAACTTATTTGAGCTGTTTATAGCTTTTTTTATTCAAAAAGTCTGTGTCATATTATTTGGCGCAGTTTTTGCGTACTGTTTATTAGAAAGAAATAGCTTAAATAAACTGAAAAAAATTAATTATCTAAAAGTTGAGAGAGTGGCACTTTTGGATTATCAACTTTAACTTAGAATATAAGTTGCACCAAATAGCACCAATCTCTCTCCTTTTAATGAATTTAGCAAGACAACTTTACATTACAATTTGTCATTTTGGTCTAATTCAAAAATGTAATCAACAGATGCTATCATTAACCTCTTCTCTTTTTTTTTTTCTTTTTCCTTTTTTGTCAGATTCTACAAAATGTAAGGAACTAGACTGGGCTAAGCGAGAAAACATAGTCACTGGAATAGCGAAGGGACTTTTGTATCTGCACGAGGACTCTCGGCTCAAAGTCATCCATAGAGACATGAAAGCTAGCAATGTTTTATTAGACGATGAGATGAACCCAAAAATATCAGACTTTGGCACCGCCAGGATTTCTTATGGTAACCAAATTGAAGCCAGCACCAACAGAATTGTGGGTACATAGTAAGTCATTTCTTCCTTGAAGTTTATCCATTTTTAGAAAGAAAAAAAAAAAATATATATATATATATATATATATCTATCTCATGGGAAATTGTAGATTTTAAAAATTATCTATGTACCTAGAAAGTGTCCAAAATTTGAGGTGTGGTGTAAATTTAAACTTTGTCTAATGTAGGACGTACCATAATAAATCTGATCTACACATTTCAAATTCTATACTTTTATACATTCACAACTTCGAATTTGCACTTACCCAAAACCTTCAAATTTGCATCAAAGCTCAAAGCCTAAAGATGCAGAAGCAAGGCCTTGTGTGTGACTTGGTTTATTTACTTCTAAAATTGTTATATTATTTGTGTGTGTGATGAAATTTCTCTCAAAGGTGCTGTTATCTAAAGTATGCAGAATTGTCTTAAGTTTATTTAAAATATCATACATATATATATATATATATACATATTTTCAAGTTCATGGGGTCAATTAATGTCACCATATTAGATGTACATGTAGCACCGCCCATGTCCAGGTCAATCTATACATAATATTTCACTCCATGTAATATCTAAAGTAATTTTGCTTTCATCATTTTTCATCTCTAATTCAATGTTTTGCTTTGGACAGCGGATACATGGCACCAGAATACGCAATGGAGGGAATATTTTCAGTAAAATCTGATGTTTACAGTTTTGGAGTTCTAATGTTAGAAATCATAAGTGGCAGAAGAAACGGTGCTAGCTTCAACCTCCCAGCACGCACCGAAGGCTTTTTACAAAATGTATGTTGGTCATTTCATCTAATTGTTGAACTTCGGTACGATCAAAATTTCTATTTTTTGTTCTAAATTTTTGAACTCAATTGGATATGATTACAAACAGGCATGGCGACTATGGAATGATGGCAAAGCTCAAGAGTTGATAGATAGAAACTTGATCGACAGGTGTCCTGTAAGAAAGGTTGCCATATGGATTAACATCGCATTGTTGTGCGTTCAAGAGAACCCTGATGATCGGCCCTCGATGTCAAAAGTTGCTTTCATGCTTGGAGGCCAATCAACAGAGATTGCCAAGCCATCTGAACCTCCATTCTCTGTTGGTAGATTCCCCATGTCCGATCAATGGTCATCTACCGGGGAAGGAACAGAACCTGCGAGTGTACCACTTACACTCCCCCGAGAATAGACTTGGACGGATGGACACTTAATCCATCCAATTCAAAACCAATTGGCAATTAGTGGAGAGGCTTTTGAAGTATATTAACCAAGCTTGGAACACACGTAATGTTTATATCCATCACCGAGATTACCATTTTGTTAATTAGAAATTTTGCTAACTAGGTGTGTATCTATCATATGAAAATTGAAATGTGGAATGTGGCATATGTCAGTTAATTACCATTTTTTTCCATTAATTGAGAAGTATACTAATTTAACTTGTTCCTTATGTCTCACACAAGGTTTTGAAAACCGGACTGGACCGGCCGGTTCGACCGGTTGAACCGTCGACCGGTTGAACCGTCGACCGGTCGGGGTTCTGGTCCAGACATACCCTCTAAACCAATCAAAACTAAAAACCGACGTATTTAGTGGGAATCGGGAAAACCGGCGGTTGATTTTTTTTTTTTTTTTTAGTTTTTCTTTCTTTGTTTTTTTATTTTCTATCTTTTCTTTCTTTCTTTCTTAAGAATATAAGAAAATTTTAATTTGAAACTCTTTTTCAAAGGTTTCCTCTTGTGAGGAATCTCATTAAGAGCTTGATGAAATTATTGTGAAAGTCTTCACCTATTTATAAGAAAAAAATTCTTTCAAAAAGACTCAAGAAATGCATATGGGATTCAATCAAATGTATTGGAGGGAATATTGAAATTTTGATATCCCTCCAAAATTTTTGCTCTCCTTTCAATCAAATTATTTGAATTAAAATCATATGGAGGGAATATTAAATATTTGATTTCATCTTCCAAAATTGAAATTAATAATATTTTAAAATATATTATTATATTTTTAAGTAAAAAAAATATTAGGACAAATATTTAAGATAATTTAATATTTTTAATTTATAATTTTATTACTTATATTTTTATTTAAATATAATTTTAATATATTTATTACGTCACAGTTCGATTCCGGTTCAACCCGACGGTTGAACCGATGACCCGTCCACCCGATCTCTTTTCCGGTTCGTTCACCGGTCTGATTTTTAAAACATTGGTCTCAAACACTAGTTCTAACTTCTTTCGTGTTAAATGTCAGTGTGACCGTGTATTTTTATCAAATGTCAGAGAGGGTATACATATTTTTACACTTGCCTTCCTGCATAAGGGGTATACTTACTGTTGCTTCCTATAATTTGCTTGCAAATGAAGTGTGGCAAACTACCTCTGCTTTCAAATGTAATTTTCTATTCAGCTGTGATTGTTTTACTCTTCTTATGAATAGAGTTAGATTTTACATACAGAAATATGGAAAGCAAGACCAAGTGGCCTATTTGGACACATGATGCCCAAATGATAAATTAAGTGTTTAGGCTAATATTGGCGGATTAACTCTGAAAGGGCCACGTTCGACCGGAAATGGCACAACAGTCAAAATACACCGCTTTGCCTTGATCCAAGGCACTTTTCTTGGAGGGGATGAATTTTATCGTTTAGATCCTTAATTTTGCAATTTTGTCATTTTAAAAAATTTTGCTTTGCTATTACTTTGTCTAAAAAATTTTGTTTTCATTGTCATTGTTTTAGCATGCTTCCTAAGATCTTTAGTATCTAAATTTAAGTCCAAATTCACTATTATTTTTTATAATTTTTATATTTGATTTTTTTTTTAGCTTTGGTTAGCAAGGAATTGCCCTATGCGGACTTTATTCAGTTTTGAGTTTATTAGTATTTTTTTTTTTTTCTCTCTAAATTATCATTGTCTGTGTTTGTTCATGTTACTTGGTTCATCATCCAATACACATATCCTAGACAACATTAAACATGATTAAATAGCAAAATTAACCACTCTGGAATTGAATATCTTTTCTATTTCTGTGGGGAATAGTTTCAATCTATGACTAACTTGTAATCTAGTTTTTGCATTTCCCTTAAAAAGGAGGCTTATTCAATTCTATGTAAGAGGCAAATTGATCCATTCAAATTCAATCAAACTTCTAAATAAGCTATGAACTTTCTTAACAGAGGTGAATGAAGAACAATAAAAAACAAATTCCTTCTAATCTCCCTACATTTTTTTTTTTTTCTAATTATAGAATCAATTGAGATAAGCTTGCCCAATTCCTTCATTTATCTCCCGCTTCATGTGCTTAAAAATGGTGCCAAAGTGATTTGAAAATTGAAAATGATCATAGTATAGTAATGCAGAAAAAGCACAAAACATACTAGACCAAAAATAAATAACGATATGTCGAGATGCATATAATGTCTAGACATATCAAAGAAATTTAAATGTAAGCGAAAAAAATTATTAACAACCATCTTGGGATTTTGGAATGACTTCCAAATCATTAAATTACTTCACACAAAACTTCTGATGACACTAATTATATACAATCTTTGATAATATTTCATAGTTTGAGATTGAAACACAAGCAATAATCACACAGAGTCAGCTTCCAAATTTAAAGCAAAAATATAATATCCACATGTTTTGCAAACTACACAAAATCAGCATAGTATGAGTACTAGGCCACATACACATGAGCGGACTGAACAAGACCTTCTATCCTTTTCTTTATCTCATCTGGATTGGCACCCACTATCTTGTCAACTTGAGCACCATCTTTCATCAGCAAAAATGTTGGCATGGCTTTTACCTCATATTTGGTTGCTACCGCCTAATCAAAACCAAAAAAATAAAGTAATAATAAATCAATTAGTGCTATTTGTTAGGAATTTAACAACACCTAGTTAGGATTGGTGAGACAAAATAGAAGAATACAATGTGATTTATTCCAGAATAAGATTACATTCATGATCGCTGTAGTTTCACTATGATCTGAAAACCATTACAACTCTCTCGCCCAAAACAAGAGATGGCCCTCATCTATAAAAATACAAAAATTAAGGCAACGCGGAAACAACAAGGAAGACTCCCGAACCTCCCATTGGAGCGATAGCCCAATGACCAGTAATACAACACAAATAAGAGGTGGGGCTCAGATATGAGATCCACCCCCTTGTCTTTTATCTGTAAAACTTTTTTTATTCTATATTTGTCCAAGTAAACGTTTTGAAAAAGGATTTACTGATCAGTATCAACCAAATACTGCCATTAACTAGCAATAGAAATTTCACATATATGCTTCATACAGTCCACCATAAAACACAATACAACACAGAGAAACTGTATATCATGAAGATACCTTGACATCATCAACGTCAACTGTGAGAAACAGTATATCCTGGTAAGTAGATGCCAATTCCTCGATAAAAGGATTCATTGCCACCGACGGCATGCACCATGAGGCTGTAAAATGAGCCACAATCTATCCAAAAAAAAACAAAAAACCAGAGATACTGATAAATAAATACAACCAAAAATGTAAGGGCAAATTAAAATTCAGTGATACCTACCCAAAAAATGGAAAAAAAAAAAAAAAAAAAAAAAAATTATTACAGAATCATAAAAAAGTATAACATTTTAATTATTAAAATTTATAAAATCTAGTACTAATTTGTAATTTTTTTTACTGCTTTTATTTTCTCCAAAATGTAAAAGACTATTAAGTCAAAATTATTGGAAATGATTAAGTCTACTAGGATTTATTTTCAGATTTTTACCAAGAATTAAAATATGGGAGGAAGATTGAAAGTGTGTATTGGGAGAGAAAATATCTAATAGGTCTGCCCAACCATGTGGTTAAAATAGGAAATAATGGTTACATGATCAATAGGATTGCAAGAGCATACTGATTCCAGGCACAATCGAAAGAATGGACTAATGCTGTGTTTGGTTGGGGGATTTGGAGAGGGATTTGGAGAGGGAAATGAAAAAGGTAGGTGAAATGTGAATAAATCATGCCTATATTTCACATAGTTTCACACACCTTTTCCATTTCCCTTTCCAAATCCCTCCTCAAATCCCTCAACCAAACACACCATAAAGAAATTAGAGCAGACTTATAAAATATCTTCCCGTATTGCGGAGTCTCAGTTTGGTTTGGTTATTTTAACTGAAAAAAGAAAATAAGTTTTTTATTTTAAAAAGACAAAACATCACATTCAACTTATAATCATTATATTTTTTTTTTTTTTTTAAAAATAAAAAGTTAAAAACTCTTCTTAAATTAGACTTTTTAACTCCAGATTAAAATAACTAAAAAAAAGTTAAAAAGTCAAAAAATCAACCCGTTTCCCAAATCATAGAGTCACGTTGTTTGAGATGTTATAAATAAGTGTACTTTTTAACTTTTTTTAAAAAGATGTGTAAAAAAGTAGAGAGGAGATGTTGATTAATGTGACTCAAAAAATATAATAGTCGCCCAATGATAAAAACGAAGTCAAGTTTGGAATTTTTTTAATTATTTTAACTGAAAAAACAAAATAAGTTTTTTATTTTAAAAAGACAAAACATCACATCCAACCTATAATCATTATATTTTTCCTCTAAAAAAAAATCAAAAACCCTTCCTAAATTAGCTTTTTAACTCCAGATTAAAATAACTAAAAAAAAGTTTAAAAAGTCAAAAAATCAACCTGTTTCCCAATCATAGAGTCACGTTGTTTGAGATGTTCTAAATAAGTGTACTTTTTTATTTTTTTAAAAAAGATGTATAAAATAGTAAAGAGGAGATGTTGATTAATGTGACTCAAAAAATATAAAAAGATAAAAAGTGTGGACTTATTTAAGGTGTGTTTGGTTTGTGTTTGTAGAGTAATTTTTTAGATAAAAAGTACAAAAACTTGTTTAGTTTATCTTTTTTCAGAAATGATTTTGAAAAATTATTTTGGAGGGAGAGAGTTCTAAAAAAAAGTAATTGATTTGATGTGTATAAGAGAGAGTAATTTTGAAAAGTAGGTAACCAAACAAAATTTTGACATTTTTTTTTGAAAAATTTGTTTGGTTTAATTACTCTTGAAAATTTGTTTGTAGAGAATTTCTCCCTAAAATTTTTCTTAAGAACAAACCAAACAAAGCCTTGGTCTTCCCAAACTTGGCCAAAGAGTCACAAGGAAGATATAGAAATAGTCGCCCAATGATAAAAACGAATTACAAGCAAGATACAGACATAGTCCCCCAACACCATAATTAAACATAATTACGATTACAACCCACTACAACCAAATGAGAATACACAATCAAAATCATCATCAGAATGATGCTAATAGTTGTATTGGGTATTACCCAGCTAATTTATGATTACTTTATCATGTGTATTAAACTTACAGGGGTGCCTTGATTGGTGGATTGGGAGAGATAGGACTCCCATGACTCCTTTGACTCAATCTTCACCACTCTGGACTTGTTCTCCTGCTCCTGGCTTTCCATTCCCTCCCTCCCTCCTTTTGCTTTTTCTTCTGCTTGTTCTTGGGTGGGTTTTCTTGACAGCAGTTTGTTTTATTACTATAAAATATAAATAAGATGCTTATATTTGGTGGATGATGACAAAGAGGGTTAAGATAAAACAATTGGAATTTGGACCCACGCGGTATTTATTTATCTGTGGGCTGTTGAATTATTGATTCCATTTTATTTTATTTTATTTTTTTAATAATATAATATAATAATTTTATTCTTATCTGCTGGTAAAAAGGGGGATAAGGTTGACTAGTGTTCAGGAGCTTACTAATGCAACATTGTTCTAGGCCTTACATGAAGGGTATCTATACCTGGCTTGCTTCAATTAAATCATCTATGTTAGTTTTTATTTTGGTTAATAGTTGCTTCTATTATTCCTATTGAATAATTTTTTTATTTGTAGTTTTGATGTATATCGTTCTCATCTCTTCCTTTCTATCCCTTTTGTTTAGAATTTTTCATATCTTAACATCATATTTTCTTTATTTCATTATTCTTTTATGTTTACATTCATTTTTTATACATAAAGCTGGGCTTATTTTATCTCTCATTTCTTTATTTATTTTGTGATTATGTACGCTATCACTTATCTTAAAATGGTTCATCTATCATATAATTAGTAGCCAAGTCTTTAATTATATTTTTTTATATGTGTTGTATTAGTTTCTTTACATCTCAAATCATGCATATTTTTTCTAACGTTTTTTGCTTGGCTTGGTACGAATGAATACTAGGTACTTTTCTTTCATCTTTGCATTTTGATTGTGTATGTTTTTCTTGCTATGTCTAGTATTATTACCATGCAGCTACTTGCTTACTTGATATATCTCTTTGGATGTTGACAAATGAAGGTTATTTGTCTTAAGTTGGGATGATATATGTTAGGGAAAATATATAATTCTCAACAAGTAAATCAATCAATGAAAATAAAAACTAATGCGAAAAAATTAAATCAAAAGCAACACAAGAATTTTACGTGATTCCCTCAATATGAGGTACGTCGATGGGATCGAAATTCGATTTCACTATCAACAAAAGAGTTTTCAAACGATTACAAACGAAACACGAATAGTCTCACAAAACCACCCTTAGGTAAATTCTAAATAATCACAAATAATCAAGAGGAAAGATCTCACCAAATAGATAAACAAAAGTTTTCGAAACCAAAGTTGAAGAAGACTCAAAACAACTTCCCCAAACCTGTTGAAAAAAGAACCAAAGCTTTATAGCAACCACCAATGGAAAATAGCCGCCGAATGCATAGGATGAAGCAATTACTATGGCTATAGCATAAACCAAGAACCACCAAATTGATTTTCAATGTTGTTCACGCAGCTATCCCTTTGAAACAATATATATATATATATTATTGATTCTTGAGTGTTGTTATCAAAACCCTAACTATTACCAAACTGAATTAGGACTCCACAAGTTAGATATAATATATAAAAATATATTATAATCAACACCAAACTAAAACTAAATATTTTAATAAACCAATTGGGTTCCATACTCCAATAAGGAGGTATATACCCAACAATTCTCCTCCTACCGACTTAGGTGGAGACATCAATCATACCCGCCAAAGTTCAGCACTTTAGATGTTTGTCCCTCGACAAAGTCCTTGTCAACATATCAGAAATACTATCATCCTTGTGAACCTTTTTAAGTTGTAACAATTTCAAATCTAACACATCCCGAATCCAATGATACCTCACATCAATGTGTTTCAATCAAGAATGAAATGTAGAATTTTTACTCAAATAAATAGCGTTTTGACTATCACAATAAAGCACATACTTCTCTTGCTTCAAACCCAACTCTTGTAAAAATTTCTTTAACCATAACTCTTCTTTGCAAACTTCTGTAATGGCAATAAATTTAGCTTCAGTAGTTGAGAGAGTAACACATTTTTGTAATTTAGATTGTCATGTCACAGCTCCCCCTGCAAATGTCATCAAATACCCTGAAGTAGATTTCCTAGAATCAACATCATCGGCCATGTTAGAATCCGTGAACCCATCAAGTATTGGCTTACCATCCCCAAAACACAAACACACCTTCGAAGTCTCTCGAAGATATCTTAGAATTTATTTTACCGCTGCCTAATGTTCTTTATCCGGATTAGAGAGAAACCGACTCACTGCACCAACGGCGTAAGCAATATCCATCCTTATACAAACCATGGCATACATTAAAGAACCAACTGCTGAAGCATAAAGAATTTTCTACATATCTTCCTTGTCTTTCTCACTTACAGGACATTGATTCGAACTAAGCTTGAAATGACCCGCAAGTGGACAACCAACCGACTTTGCTTTATCCATGTTGAACCTTTCAAGAACTTTCTCAATGTAACTTTCTTGAGACAACCAAACCCCTCTTTGCAATCACGAACAATTTTCATACCAAGTATTTGCTTTGCTGGTCCCAAATCTTTCATAGCAAATGACTTGCTCAACTCCAATTTCAACCTGTTAATCATAGTAGAATCTTGACTCACAATTAACATGTCATCAACATAAAGCAAAAGAATAATAAATTTACCATTCGGAAAATTTTTCACAAACACACAATGGTCCAAAGTGGTTTTAGAAAAACCATTATTCATCATGAAAGAGTAAAATTTTTTGTACCATTGCCGCGGGGCTTGCTTGAGGTTGTACAAATTTCTCTTCAATTTACAAACAAATTTCTCTTTTCCTTTCTTCACAAAACCCTCTGGTTGCTCTATGTAAATTTCTTCTTTAATGTCACCATGAAGAAATGCGGTTTTCATACCAAGTTGTTCAACTTCAAGGTTCGTACTTGCGGCCATACCAAGTACAACCCGAATAGAAGACATCTTCACAACTGGAGAGAAAATTTCATCAAAGTCAATACATTTCTTTTGCCCAAAGCTTTTCACAATAAGACGTGCCTTGTACCTCAGATTCTTGCCATCATTCTTCAATTTGAAAATCCACTTATTTTTCAGAATTTTCCTTCCCTTAGGCAACTTCTCTAAGTCATAAGTGTGATTTTCAAGCAAAGAATTCATCTCCTCGTGCATGGCCTTTTTCCAATCACCTTTCTTTACATGCTCAATTACTTCCTAGTAGCTCTCAGGCTCCCCTTAATCAGAATCAACACAAATTCATTAGGAGGATACTTTCTCAAAGGTTGTCGGTCCCTTGTAGATTTCCTCAACTCAAGTTGTGGTGGCGGTTCTTGAGTTGGATGCTCTTCCTCAATTTCTAACTCAACTTCATTAGGATTAGTATCATCCTCTACATTTTCAATCGGTGGCTGCACATCTCCCCCATTTTCATTATCAACTGAAGATGAAGGAGATGGATCCATGTCAATGAGATCACTAGTTTTTGGCTCAGGTTGATCACCTTTACCAAAGTCTTCAATTGTTTGGTCTTCAAGAAACACAACATCAGGGCTTCGAATGACTTTCCTGTCGACCAGATCCCATAATCTATACCCGAATTCATCACGCTCATAGCCAAGAAAAATACATTGTCTTGATTTACTATCAAGCTTGAACCTCTCATCCTTTGGAATGTGAACAAACCAAACACTCTCAAGTGCTCATAAGACACATCTTTGACGGTCCAAACTCTTCCAGGAACATCACCATTCAAAGGATAGGAATGAGACAAATTGATCACGTCAACAACTGTCCTCATTGCCTCACCTCAAAATGATCTTGACAATTTAGCGTATGAAAGCAAACACATTGTTCTTTCCACAATGGTGCGGTTCATCCTTTCTGCAATGCCATTTTGTTAAGGAGTTTTCTTAACTATCTTTTGGTGCCGAACACCTTGGTTGCGACAATACTCGTCAAATGGCCCAATGTATTCACCACCATTGTCTGATCGGATGCACTTCAATTTCTACCTTGTTTCTCTTTTAACTATGGCCTGAAAATGCTTAAATACTTCTAGAACTTGATCTTTAGTTTTTAGTATAAAAGTCCAAAATTTCCTTGAATAATCATCAATGAAAGTAACAAAATAAAGTGCACCACTATGTGTCCTAACTTTCAAAGGACCACAAACATCTGAATGAATCAACTCTAAAACATTTTCTTTTCTAGAAGCAACATTTTTATGAAAAGAAACTCTATGTTGTTTACCCACCAAAAAATGAACACAAATTTTAAGATGTGTACCTTTCAAATCGGGTAGAAACTCTTTCTTGAACAAAACTTGTAGCCCATTTTCACTCATATGGCCAAGTCGTTTGTGCCACAATTCGGTAGAAGTATCATCTTTAAGTGCATTGACAACACCTTTACAAATTTTTCCTTACATCGAATAAAATGTATGAGTCTTCTTGCACTTAGCCACCACCAAAGAACCCTTTGTGAGCTTTCATATTCCATCACCAAATTTGTTGTTGAAGCCTTTATCATCTAGCTTCCCAATAGAGATCAAATTGAGGCAAATGTCAGGAACATGCCTCACATCTTTAAGCAACAACTTGCAGCTCAAATTTGTTTCCAAGCAAACATTACCCATGCCAATAATCTTGGACAAACCTTCATTACCCATTCGAATAAAACCATAATCTCCTTTGGTGTAGGTATTGAAGAAATCAACTCAAGAAGTCACATGAAAAGAAGCACTGAAATCAATCACCCAATTGCTCTCTTAGCCCACAAAATTGATACAATTATCCTCACAAATGACCATGAGATCACTATTGGTAGTAACCGCCATTGTGTCTTCTTGCTTCTTATCCACACTTTTGTCACGTTTTTTCTCCTTGTTCTTAAGCTTTCGGCATTCTAGCTTCATGTGCCCTTTCTCATGGCAATAATAGCACTCAATGTCTTTCTTTGAAAAAGAACCATTTCTTGATTTGTCACGGCTTTGATCACGACCATGAAAAGTCTTACTCCTCCCCCTTGTTTTGCTTCAGCCTCTCATAACAAATGCTTCCAAATAAAAAGAACCCGCTGATTTTCTTCTAATTTCTTCACTCAACAAGCTACTGGTGACTTGGCTCATTATGACAACTCCATCAGGTGCCGAATTACTAACCGTCACAACCAAAATCTCCCAACTTTCGAACAAAAAACTAAATAGTATCAAAGCCTGCAACTCATCATTAAAAATAATTTTCATAGAAGTAAGTTGGTTAACAATACTTTTTATTTCATTCAAATGTTCCGGAATAGGGCTGCCCTTTTTATATTTTAAATTAACCAACTTACGAAATAGAAAAAATTTATTTGTGGCTGATTTCCTATCATAAAAGCCTTCTAATTTTTTCCATAAATCATGTGCCGAAATTTCAGTAGCAACATGATAAAACACACTGTCATCAATCCATTGATGGATAACACCAACGACTTTTTCATTAAGCCTCTTCCATTCATCATCTTGCATATCCTCGGGTTTGCCATAATTACCCTCAATAGGCCTATATAAATCTTTACAAAATAATAGGTCCTCTATTTTAGTTTTTCAAGTTACCCAATTGCTTCCATTGAAGCTAGACATACGACCCACATTCCCCTTCATTGATTTACACAAATAAATAAACCCAAATAAATCGTGAGCTCTGATACCAGTTGTTAGGAAAAATATATGATTCCCCACAAGTAAATTAATCAATGGGAATAAAAAATAATACGGAAAAATTAAATCAAAAGCAACATAAGAATTTTACGTGGTTCCCTCAATGTGAGGTACGTCTACGAGATCGAAATCCGATTCTACTATCAACCAAAGAGTTTTCAAATGATTACAGACGAAACACAAATAGCCTCACAAAACCACCCGTAGGTGAATTCCAAAATAATCACAAATGATCAAGAGAAAAGACCTTACCAAATAGATAAACAAAAATCTTCGAAACCAGAGTTGAAGAAGATCCAAAACAACTTTCCCAAACCTGCCGAAAAAATGACCAAAGCTTTATAGCAACCACCAATGGAAAATAGTTGTTGAATGCATAGGATGAAGCAATTACTATGGCTGTAGCATAAACCAAGAACCACCAAATTGATTTTCAATGTTGTTTACGCAGCTACCCCTTCGAAACAATATATACGTATATATATATATATACACGCATATTATTGATTCTTGAGTTTTGTTATCAAAATCCTAACTATTACTAAACTGAATTAAGACTCCACAAGTTAAATATAATATATAAAATTATATTATAATCAACACCAAACAAAACTAAATATTTTAATAAACCAATTGGGTCTTATACTCCAATAAAGAGATATATACCCAACAGATATATTGATTTCCATGCATGTGGACTCATCTTTTCTTTGAGTTATATATTTTCAAACTCTTTTCTAAACGCATGAAACCAAAATATTCCAAAATAAGTGATTTAATCTATACTTGTTTGCTTCATATAATAATTTTAGCATCAATAATCAGAATATAGGCATATATTAGTAATGAATCTCATATTTAGAATTAGCAGAGACTGATCTTTGATCGGGTGAGGGGAATGATGCTCAATTCATAACACTTTCCCCTTATATCTAAGTTCTCAAGTCTAGACACTTTGGTTACGATGGACTAGTGTCAACAGTGACCTTTGACATTAGTCATGGATTTCTTAATTTTCTTAAAAGAGTAAGTGGCAATTCTAAGTCCAGTAATATAATCTATTTTTAACATTTCTTGTGATTAATAAATTTTCTATAAATTTATTAAATTTTGACTCTCATTCTACTTGACATTGCACTAACAAAATCAGACAAAAAATTCTAACGGTTGGGCTCACTCAGACCCTATATTTAAAAGATTCTACACAAATCTTTTTATAAAAAATTAAAAGTACACTTGTTAATCATCCACTACAACCCTTTTGATAAGAGATGCTTGTCCGGTAGTAGAGTAATGAATCAGGGCCGGCCTGCCTAATACCTTGGCGCCTAGATTGAAAATTAAAGTGACTTTTTATATTTAAATAATATTTATTAATTTTTACATTGTAAAGTTGGTTTTTTTTTTTTTCTGGCATATAAATTTTGTAATATTATTGGGATCATTGGATATGAATGTTTTAATTTTGTTGGATTTCAGATGAGATTTTTATTTTATTTTTCTGTTGGAATGTTGCGTCAAGAATGTCCTATTCATCTATTATGGGTAAACCACAAATACTCCATCTGAAGTTTGCTATTTAAAGTACAGATTATTCTTTGAATTTAGAAAATTATAAATATTCTTTTATTATAATTTTTTATTTAATAGAATTAACTAAAAAAATAAAATTTATAATTGCTCTCCTACATAATAATAAATTTACATAAATTATTAATTGAAACATATTTATAAAAACTGTTAATTAACTTAATAATTTATTAATAAAAAAATGATTTATTATGAAATTATAAATCTCAGGGAGTGAAATGTAATTTTCAAAATCACATGAGACAATTCGTGTTTTAATCAAATCTATTTATGATTTACCCTTTTATTATTGATGATAGCTATGGATAACAAATGATTTTTGAGCAAGAAATTTTTTTATTTATAGGCCTGTCGATGAGGAACATTATTTTGGTGTTGACTCTTAGGTCAAGTAGAGTTTAGTATTTGTTTATTGGGTCTTTAGACGTTTTTATTTTTTGTCCTATACAAAAATTTTATTAAAAAAAAATTAATTAAAATTTTGGATTTTGAAAAAAAAAATCGGCAGCCTTATTCTTATTTTAAAAATAATCATTATAGAATTAAGTAATTCTAAAAGACGGGTTAGTCCCTTTTATTAAGTAAGGGTTGGTTTGGGGTGTCCTAAAAAAGTGTACTTTTTTGTCTTTTTACGAAAAGATGTGCAGAAAAGTAGAGAGGTGATGTGATGGAAAAAAGATAAAAAGATAAAAAGATGGATTATATAGTCTATGCCAAACAAGGCCTAAGAATAGGTTAGAGTCACCCTTGTGTTGTAGCATTCCCCTCATTTATTACATTAATGAGTTGATGTTAGTTGGAGAGCCATAAGAGCCGGTTGCATCCGGATCCTCTGAGGTGGTCCTTCTCTAAGAGTCCGTATCATCTGTCGTAGCTGCTTGCTGCGCTGCGGCAGTTCAAAACGACATCGTTTTGAACTTTTTTTTTTTTTTTCCTTCTTCTTTTGCTTTTCAGCCTCTTTTTTACTTCGTCATTTGTACTTCACAAGGAGCCAAAATACCACAGAACTTTAAGGATAACCAAACTTTCTCTCTCTCTCTCTCTCTCTCTCTCACCGTCGGCAACCGGAAAATGAATATCCCAGCAACCAACTCGTCCTTTTGAGAACACATATCAATTGAGTTTCAAAGTTATTTGATCCTTTTTACCTCATTTTGTTCAGAATTTGTTTTGCTTTTTAGATTGATCTATGTGTGATCTAATGAGACTATTGATCATGATGATCGGATGATATTTGTCACTGTAACCTTAACAAAACAAACAAACAAACAAAAAGAGAAAACTTTAACTGATGGTTTTGATTAATTGAGAAGACTTTGGGGGGCTTGGGGGACTTGATTAATGGAGTACAGAAACAAGCCTAATTAACTGATAGACATAGATCACGAACAATCCTGCTTCACGAACAACAGATCCAACAAAACACAGATCACATACCATAATCACAAACTATAACAACTCTAATAGCAGATCATGATTCAATCACAACCCCAACAATCACAATCAAATGAGTTATAGATATCTATGTAGAGAGAGAGAGCGCACAGCAAACACGAGGGACAATAGTCTCCGGAAATCGGTGATGGCATAGTGGTGAGAAAAACGGCGAATAACAGATCTGGTGTTAACAATCGTGTCTGCGAAGCTCTATTCCACTCGATTTTTTTTTTTTTTTTTTTGCGGCAAAGGATCTTTGATGCTCTATAAAGATGTTTCAAAAAGATTCGTTGTTGGAGGCTGATCTCTTCACGACGATGCAGATCGGAACAGATCTAAAACCATGGGAGCAGATCGGAGGAAGATGACCAAGTTTATCGGCTTCTCTGATAATTCCTGTCAACTCTACCGTCATGATGTACCTGTTTCCATCCCGATCAAATATCCTGAACAATTTCTTCTCTGTTCTATGGTGTTTTGGCTCCTTGTGAAGTAAAAATGACGACGTGAAAAAGAGGTTGAAAAGCAAAAGAAGAAGGGGGAAAAAATGTCCAAAATGACATTGTTTTGGACAGCCGCAAGAAGCGTCGCAGCAACCACGGAAAACGATCCGGACTCCTTCCCTAAAGTGTCCCTGCATTGAAACAAAACGACATCAAAACGAGTTCGTTTTGTTTTAAACCCAAGGAAAAAAATAAATAAATAAAAGGAAAAATCGAAACCAAAAGAAAGATACAGAAAGACTGTTTGACTCTCTTGAGAAGATGGACGAAGTCTACTCCATCACCACTGCTACCCTCGCCGGCCGGCCGGCCTCCTCTTCCTCCTTCTCTTTTGACTCCATCACCAATATGCCACCCTAGGAATTACAACTTGTCCGGTTGAAAACAGAGTTTATACAAACAATTTTTTTACAAAATTATACAATAATTTAGTTACTTCTATCATTTAATTTCAGCAATTAGCGGGTCACATTTTTAATACTCAGATTTTATTATTGCACATCACATTTACTTTATTGAAAAAATTGTAAAATAAAAAGATAAACTACACCAACCCCTTTTAGGATAGACAGTGACTGCTATGCGCCATGCACAATAGTCACCATAGTGGACACGTTAAGGTTCATTTTGTATCTTACTTTAATTATTTGAATTGTTCATCTTTTAGAATATATTGAGTAAAATATTTTGCAAAATATCAAATTGATTAGATATTGTTAAGTCTTTAATCAAATCAAATTTGTATTCAGTTTTATACTCAAAATCATACTTACTTCTTTTCTTTTTTATTTGGTAAATACAAATTTGATCTAATCATGGGACTACCGATATCCAATTAACTAGATTTTTTACAAGTATATTGTACTCGACATTCTCTAATAAGTTGTAACGACCACACCACGTATAATGATTAACACTTAATTAATTAAGGAGATTTGAAATTTAATTGCCGATTATTCTAATTTAATCTGCGATTTACAAAAATTGTGGAGATTGATTCATATATGGTTCTATTGAGTATTTATTTTGGAATTAAAAATTGAAAGTCTAAATGGCTCAAAAAAGTACACATGGTGAATTGAATTATTTAAATTTCGAATATCAGACCATATGGAAATTTAATTAAATATTCTATTCGGATCTATAAAATTAAGGTTTGATCAATTGGGTCCGAATTGGAGTTAATTAAGTTATGAGGATTGAGAATTAAGATTATTATGAATTAAATTTATTTATGAGCTGCTCAATTTAATATGTAATTTATAGAGCGAAGATTTTAAAGTTTAATGTAAAATTAAAGATCTTAATAACTTGAGGAATCAAAATTGATGATGAAAATAAGTTTAATTTGATGTTTAGAGACTTTTGAGAGTTGGATTAAAAATCTGATTCAGACTAATAAATTTAAATATTATGAATTAAATCTCACATAATTAGATTAATTAAATTATGTGAGATTTGTAATTAGTTATGATTAATTTAATTATCTGTTAATCAAGATTTATTAAGAATAAGCTTTATTTAATTAAATTAATCTTAACCATAAATTAAATTGTAAAATGATTTAGAGTTTGAGAATATATATAGATGTGTGTGCTGAGAAGTATGTGTGTGTGCAGAGAAGTCTGAGAGTGTGTGTGTAAGTGTTGTGCTGGAAGCTTAAAATGTGTGCACGTGTACCAATGCAATGTCAAGAAGTGAACATGTGTGTGCAAGTGTTGATGACCTTTAAGTCAAGAAAAGTTTATGTATCCTACCATTTGTTCTATTTGGCTGAGAAAGGGAGTAAGAGAGAATGTGATCTCAAGAGTAGAGAGAGAGAGTTACCGAGAGAGAGAGGAACAGGATTTAGTTCAAGAAGAAGAACTACGGAAAGAAAAGTTCAAGAAAAATTTAAAGAGATGAAGAAGATCTAAGAGAAAACTAACTATAAATTCTGAAATCAAAATTCAAGGTAAGGAATTTATGCTCAAATCATGTAGAATCTTAATATAATACTTGAAATTAAGGAGATTATGGAATCAATTTCTTGTAAATTGTAAGAAATTGAGTTTTGAGTAAGAATTTACGATTTAAGCTAAATGCATGTTTATAAAATATTTTGTAAGGACTTCACATTACACTTGAAATTAAGAAGAGTTTAAGATCAATTTCATGGAATTTGTAAGGAAATGGGTTTGAATAAGAAAATAAAGTTAGGTTCATGGTTATAGAAATAAACATGGCAGTTGATTATTTTTAGTTTAATGTTAAATATCTTGCATGAATTTGGGTCTCATTTCTATCAACAATGTTAGGTATCATAAAAAACCTTTCATGAAAATAATCATGAAAGTTTTGTGACCCTTAGATTACACTTAGAATAAAGCACCACACACTAATCAAGATAATCCAATGATCATAAATTTTTCATGATCATTTTCATGAAAAAAATTTCATGATCTCTAACTTTTCTCCATTTCTATATGCATGTAATTTGGAAGAATTAAAGAATAAATATGGGTTTTGATTTTGATTATTAACCCATGCATGTAATGTAATTTAAGAGTTTGACTCAAATTAAATATATTTTGGAACATCTATGATTTAAGGAAATAAGTTTGGAAAGTAGTTAGTTTGAGTTTGATTTCGTCATTCTTCATAAATTTGAAACTCAACCTTACATGCATCATGGAATTTCAAGGTTTTGAGATTTTAATTCATGTTTTATGAGTTTGAATTTGGATTTGATATGAGAAAAATTAATAAAAATCTAAATTAGAGCAATTCAAGGTTTTAATTATGGTTTGAGCTTGATTATGTAGAATTGGTTAGATTTTGATAAATGTTTCAAGCATGCAAATGATTTTCTAAGAAGTTTATAACTTTAATTTCATGTTTTGAAGGAAAATAGAAAGAACTTGAAGTAAATTTTATGTAATTAAAAAGAAAATGAAGAATTGGAGCTATGTTCAAATTTATGGAAATTAATTGAGAAATTAATTACTTTGGGTTTGAATTTAGTTGTCTTAACATGAAATTGAGTTTCAATTGTACATGCATCATGAATTTTTAAGAGTTTTGGAAGATCAATTCATGTTTTAGAATTTGTGGGTTTGAAATTGGACTTGTGTAGACACCCCATTTTTGACCTTCCTCAAGATTTGGACGTCATCGTTTGAACACTAGATGATCATCAATGTTCGTGTTCGTTTTGAGTTCTCGGAGGTCTCGGTCGCGCGCCTTGCCTCAAGATCTCTTAACTTGCCTGTTCTGTGCTTGGTTTTGCACCAAGGACTTGTGTTTTGTACTTCTGAGGGTGGGAAGAGGCATGTTAGTCGTCCCTAAAACCCACCGGCCGTGGCATGATGCCACCGGCCTTGCCATTTTGCTACCGACCAAATGTTTGGTCGGTCGGCACTTGTGTTGGTGTATCGGCTCTTTGTGTGGGTCGACCGACCATTTATTTGGCCGATTGACTCCTTTTCTGGCCGATACTTTCTTTTTGCCTCTTTGAGGCATGGTGCATGCCAGCTGTGCCAGCTGGAGTGCACGGACTTGTCGTCCATACAGCTGTATGGAGGAATTTGCACCCTTTGCACCCTTTTGGTCTAGCTTCTTGGGGAAGCTTGGACCTTTGTCTTAGCTTCCTCAAGAAGCTTGGACACTTGTCTCAGCTTCCTAAGGAAGCCTTGGCCCCTTTGCCTTAGCTTCTTTAGAAAGCCTTGACCCTTTTTGATAGCTTCTCTTGGAAGCTTAAGCCTCCATCTTGCTCTATATAAGGAGACCTTCCCTCTCCTTTGTGAGGTTGAACAAAAAAACCAGATCTAATACATATATATCTGATATATACAACTTCTCTCTCTATATCTCCCTCTCTCTCTCTTCATTTGTGTGTGTTAGAGAGCCAAAAAGTGTAGTTTGTTCTTAGTTTTGCACTAGAACACCTACTATTACACCATACTTCGACTTGGGAGGTGTTGAAAGGTTGTTCTTGGAGTTTTGAGCTGGTTTTGATCATAAGGAAGAGGCTGAGGTTGCTGTTCTTCAAGTGTTCTTCAAGGGTAACACTATTTGCTTTATATTCCCCAATCTTGCACTAGTTTTTAACCCACTTTGCATGCTGTTTTAGACTTTGTGTATAACTTGAAAAAGTCTTGTATTTGCATGCTTAAGATCTTTCATTAAGGTCATTTTGTTGTTTGGGGTCGACCTCCACCTCTTAGGCTCTGTTTGGCTCTTTTTGTGCTCTCTTTGTTAAGCTTTGAATACTATTGTGTTTTGGCCTTCTCACCACTGAAATCCAGTGGATTTTTAGTGGTGATGAAGAGGGTTTGAGGTCTTGCATAGGGGAGGGACACCCCTCTCCCTTTGTCTCTCTTTTATTTGCATTTTTGGCTCATAAGGGTAGCATGCATGTTTAGTTGCTTTTGGCTTCCTTTCAGAGGGTTTTGGGTGTTATTAGGTCATATTACATCTCTGTTTTTGGTCGGATTTATGCCCCTTTGCATGCATGATATACTTGCTTTGCATTCCTCCTCTTTGCCTAGAAATGCATCTTGCCTTTAAGACCATCATGCATGCATGTTCTTACCTAACTTTGTGAAGTCCTTGGTCATATTTCATCATGCTTGAAGTCAGTTAGGCACTGGTTTGATCATATTTGCCATGTTTGGTACAACCTCTTTGCATTTTGGCTTGTGAGCCTTTAGTGTGTGAGTCATGAGCATGCTTGAGTCGGGTTGTTTTAGTGATTTGGAATCATTTCTCATGCCATTTCAGTCCCTAATCCATGCTTGTATGCTTGCATTCATCATCTCTTTCATGCCTTGAAGTGTTGTTCTTTTATGCCTTGAAATAGGTCTTAAATGCATGCCTCTTGGTTTGTGTCCCTTAGCTGCCATATCAGTGGGTTTTGGAGGTCCTTTTTGCATGCTAAAACTTTGTTTTGTATTGAAAAGTTCATGTCATGTTTGCTTGGGGTAGGTGTTAAGTAATGCCCTCTTTCGTGCCCTTGAATGCCTTCTATCTTACACCCATCCCCTTGTATGTTTTGGCATCATTCTTCGCATGCTTTTTAGAGTTTAACATGAGCATTTAATGTCCATGTATATCACCTTTGAGTGTTCTTGAGAGTAGCCTTCCATGCTTGGGTTTTTGGCTCATTGGTGTGCATGTTTGCATGAGCACTTGTCCATTATTTTTGGTACTTTTGGCCACTGTTTTGGGGTGTGGCTGAGGCCTCCCATTTCAGTTTAAGACCACCCTTGTATATAGTTGCATACTTAGCATGTTACATGTTGCATTCCATTAGTTGCATGCTTGCATTATGTCTTGTTTGCATGTTTGCATATTGTTTAGTTAGTTGCATCACATATTCTTGTTGCATGCTTAATATGTTCATGTTTAGCTTGCATGAATAGGTAGCATGGCATTGCATTAGGTGCATTACTTTGCATTGTATATGGCATACGTCGCATTACATTTTGCTTGGTTTGGGGTGTCAAACCAAGTATGAGGATTGAGAAGTGTTCGTACTTGAAGTGACGAAACACATTTCAATCCTCAGTCGCCAATGCCCTTGA